CTCAAGCATGACCAAAAATTTTTTTCAACCTCTTTTTAATTTTAGAAATGTGCTATCAGAAAATTTGAAATTATGTAACTGTCACCTTATATTTCTGTTGGACAGTGTTATACAAGAGTCAATACGTTAATGAGTTAAGTAATATATAATCTATTTTTAATGCCTAAGTCAATGATAATTAGAGTGAAATGAAAAATATGTTTAATTTTATATTTGTTTTTGCCTTATTGGCTTTTTATTATTTTATTAGCATATAATAGTTGTACAAGGGGATACATTGTGATTTTTACATATGTGCTTACAATATATCTTAGAGTCACCCTGTGGGTTGTTCTCCCTCTCCCTCCTTCTTAGAAAAATTTCAACAGGTTTCATCATTCTATTTTCATATATGAATACAAGAGAGGTCACCATATTTGCCCTCATTCACCCTTTCTTTCTGCCCTCCCCCTACCACTGGTACCCACCCCCAGAAATAACCTGTTTTACCTATCTTTCCTTCATTTTTTTTAAAGTGTATGCTGTCCAAGTAGTTTTCAGGCATGTATATATTGTGCTTTAATCAGAGTAACCCCCCTATTACTTACTCTTTCTCTATCACCACCCTCCCATTATTCAACAGCTTACAGTGCATTACATTATATTTAGATGGAATGTTTCAGTATTGTTCCTTCAGACACACTAATACAATCTTGTTCTCTCTTATCATACATATATGCATGTGTGTATAAGAGATCATATATGTATTTATGTGTACATTTAACTTACAGGTCTAGCTTCCATATTTGAGGGAAATTGCGACCTTTGACCTTTTGAGCCTAGCTTAGTTCATTTAACATGATTTTCTCCAGTTCCATCCATTTACCTGCAAACAGTATAATTCTTCTTTATGGCTGAATAATACTTTAGTATTATAATACCACATTTTCTTAATCAGTTCATCATTTGTGGGGCATGTGAGCTATTTCCAAAGCTTGGCTATTGTGAATAGTGCTGTTGCAAGATGCTCTATCATGTCCTGGCTCACATTCCTTCAGGTATGTGCCCAGGAATAGTATCACTGGATTGTATGGTAGGTCTATTTTTAGTTTTTTGAGAAACCTCCATACTGCTTTCTTTAGCGGTTGTACTAATTTACATTCCCAAGAACATTGTATCTCTCCCTCCACCCCTGCCATCATCCTCGCCTGCATTTGTTGTTGTGTTGTTGATGGTAGCCACTCTGACTGGAGTGAGGTGGGACCTCAGTGTGGTTTTGATTTGCGTTTCCTTTGTGGCTCAGGAGGTGGAGCACTTCTTCACGTGTTTATGGCCATTTGCACTGCTTCTCTTGAGAAGTGTCTGTTCAGTTCATTTGCCCATTCATTCATTGGGTTGTTGATTCTTTACTGGCTAGTGTGTTGAGCTCCCTATGTATTCTGTTTTTTAATCTCTTGTCAGATGTATAGCTGGCAAAGATTTTCTCCCATTCTGTAGGCTGTCTCTTCAGTCTAGTGACTGTTTGCTTTGGCTGTGCAGAGGCCTTTTAGTTTCATGGAGTCCCATTTGTCAATCTTTTCTCTTAATTGTTTCACTATTGGCGTGCTATTCATAAAGTGATTAACTATGCCTAAGTGGTCTGTTGTGTTCTCTATTCTTTCCTGGATTAATTTCACCATTTTAAATCTTACATTAAGATCTTTAACCCACTTTGAATTGATATTAGTACAGGGGGAGATTCTGGGATCTAGTTTCAATCTTCTGTAGATAGATATCCAGTTTCCCCAGCACCATTTATTGAAAAGGCTATTATTTTTACAGCTCATATTTTGGGATCCTTTGTTGAAAATCAAATGGCTGTCTTCGTGGTTTTATGTCCATGTCTCCTGTTGTATTCCATTTCTCTTCATGGCTGTTTTTGTGCTGTACCATGTTGTTTTCATTACTATGGTTCTGTCATGTAGTTTGAAGTCAGGTATTGTGATGCCTCCCAATGTTGCTCTTTTGGTTCAGGATTGCTTTGACTATTTGAGATCTTTTGTGTTTCCACATTCACTTTAGGATTGACTTTTCTACTTTTGGGAAGAATGTCGTTGGAATTTTGGTAGGGATTGCATTGAACATATAGATTACTTTTGGTAGTGTAGCCATTTTTCACAATATGATTCTGCTGATCCATAAGGATGGGATGTCCTTCCATCTTCTAATGTTTTCATTGTCATTATATAGGTCAGTCACTTCCTTTGTTAAATTTATTCTTAGGTATTTTAATTTTTTTGAGGCTGTTGTGAATGGTATTGTTTTCCAGATTTCTTTCTTGGATTGTTCATTGTTTATGTATAGAAATGCTACTTTTTTGTGTATTGATTTTGTATCCTGCTATTTTGGTGAACATGTTTATGACATCTGAGTGGTTTTTTTTTTAGTTGAGTTTTTAGGGTCTTTCAGGTGTAACATCATATCATCTATAAATAGGGATAATTTGACTTCTTTCTTCCCTAGTTGAATCCCTTTTATTACTTTCTCCAGTCTTGTTGCTCTGGATAGGAATTTCAGTACTATGTTGAATAAGAGTGGGGAGAGTGGATACCCCTTTTCTCCTCCTGATTAGAGGAAACGGTTTCAGTTTTGCCCATTTAGTATTATGTTGGCTATAGATTTGTCATATATAGCCTTTCATGTTGAGGAATGTGCCTTCTATTCCTAGTTTCTTTAGAGCTTTTATCATGAAAGAACGTTGAATTTTGTCAAAGGCTTTTTCTGTATCTATTGAGATGATGATGTGGTTTTTGTCCTTGATTCTGTTTATGTATTATTTATATATTACATATATTGATTTGTGTAATGTTGTACCACCTTGTATCCCTGGAATGAAACCTATTTGATCATGGTGTATGATCTTTTTCATGTGTTGGTGATTCTGCTAGTATTTTATTGAAGATTTTTGCATCTGTGTTCATCAGGGATATTGACCTGTATCTCTTTTTTTGATACATCTTTACCTGGTTTTTGTATTAGAGTAAAACTGGCTTCATAGATTGAGTTTGGTAGTATTCCTTCCTTTTGTACTTTATGGACTAGTTTGAGGAATATTAGTGTTAGTTCTTCTTTAAAGGTCTGATAGAATTAGCAGTGAGTCCATCAGGACCTGGGCATTTCTTTGTTGGGAGGTTCTTTATAATTGTTTCAATCTCATTAGTTATTATGGATCTGTTTAAGTTTTTAATGACCTCTTGCTTCAATTTTGGTGAGGCATATGTGTCAAGAAATTTATCTATTTCTTCTTCATTTTCCAGTTTGCTGGAGTATAGATTTTTAAAGTATTCATGTATGATCTGAATTTCATTGGTATCTGTTGTAATATCCCCTTTTTCATCTCTGATTTTATTAATTCAGGTCTCTCCCTTTTATTTAGTTTTGCTAGAGGTTTGTCAGTCTTGTTAATTTTTTCAAAGAACCAACTTTTTCTTTCATTGATATGCTGTATTGTCCTTTTAGTCTCCAACTCATTGGGTTTTTTGCCCTTATTTTTATGATCTCTGTCCTATCAGACGAGAGTGGAATAAAATTAGAAATCAATAGCAAAGAAAATCACAAAAACCATTCAAACTCATGCAGGTTGAACAACATGTTTTGAATGATCATTAGGTCATTGATGAAATTAGGAAAGAATTAAGAAATTCCTAGATTCAAATGAAAATCAGGTCACAACCTGTGGGACACAGAAAAGGCAGTCTTAAGAGAGAAGTTTATAGCTATGAGTGCCCACATCAGAAAATTAGAGAGATCTTGGATAAATAATCTGATGATGCATCTCAAACGCTTGGAAAAACGAGCAAGCCAACCCAAAATGTATTGGCTTTTTAAAAACAGTACCAAGAGTATCAAGATCTTTCATGATTTCTATGTGATGTGGTATCTGAATCACTGGTAGATGCAATATGAATGCAATGGGCATTCTAAGAACAAAGGAGCTGCTGGTGTTGGAAAGTCATCATTGAGACTTTGGGACTTCTATTTCCCAAACACCGAAGGATAAACTGATTCACAGGTAATGGGCTGAGGTAGGCCTAGTTGACAGTGAACAAGCCAAAATGATTTATATAAGGATTTCTATGTGGAAGTAAGAGAAAATGGTTGAGAATTAAGTTGAAAGTGAATAGAGTAAGAAATCTAGATAGCTGTATATAGGTGTTTGGGAGCTAGAAAACTATCAAGTGGGAAGTGACATGAAGGCGGTATTCTTGGAATACTGGTTTGGTTACAGACTATCTGTAGCTAAAGTGAGAAGGCATAGTTACGCTGGCAGAGTGGCTCAAGTGGTAGAGCACAGGCCCAGCATGTGCAAGACCCTGAGTTCAAACTCCAGTATTGCACCCCACCCCAAAAAAAGGTATAGTTCTGTCCTAGAGAAGCAGAGGTAGGACTATCTATGTTCAGGGAACGGAGAGATTGAAAGTAATCTTAGTTCAAAAAAAATCACAACAGAAATAAAAAAGTATTGTAGCTTTATATAGTGTCTTGCCATTTCAAAACTCATAGAGATAGCCTACACTACCCCTTTTATTACACATGAGGAAATTGACCTGACCACTTGTGTAGGTGGTAGACCTGAGAATTGAGCCCATGTTTTGTTTTGTTTTCCTTCTTCATTGATATCTACTAAGTCACCTTAGCCAATATCTCAGGTTTTCTTAACTCTTTATCACTGCACAGTCAGTCTCTATGTTTTGTTAATTTGATTTCCTAAACATTTTTCAGATCTGCCCACTGCTCTATGTACCACTTCTATCTTGATTTTGCTACTCCTATCTTTGTGGATTGATGTTTTCCTGAATTTATATCTAATGTCTGCCCTGTACACCACCTCTTAAAACAAGCAAGTAAAAACTTATTTATAAGTCTGTCTTCCTCCAGTTCAGTGATTAAGATTTTTTTATATACTCTCTCTTCAACAAAATTAGAAATAAGGGCAGAACAGTTTCTGCCTGGAGGCGAGGGAGGAATAAGGTAGGGGAGCAGGGGGGATGAGGGGAGAAATGACCCAAACATTGTATGCACATATGAATAAATGGAAAAATAAATAAATAAAATATAGAGCAGTGTCCTGCTTAAACTTAAATAAAATCAAAACTTCTTAGCCTATCCTTACAAGGCTTTTCCTGATCAAATCAATGCCTCCAGTTCCATTAACATGTTGGGTTTTTAAGCCATTTATTGTCTGCTGTTGCTTCTACAAGCTTTCCATCCCACCCTCACCTTTTTACCTTTGCTTAGGAAATTGTCTGTTTACTTGTCTGTGTTGTCTGTAACCACTTCTCTCCCACCCTCAACCCTAATGCAGGCTCATTAAGGACAGAGATTATTGTTTTATTTGCTAATGATATACCCACAGAAATAGGTTGAATGAGTGAAAACTTTTATACTTCAGAGTTGTTTTAAGGTAGAAGTAGCTTTAGTGGAGAGTAAAGAGCCTGAAAGAATGATTGAAAAAGATTAGGCCATCACTTCCTAATATTAGTGTCCTCAGAGCCTTTATTTCCGCCAGGATATTGGTTCAAATATATTAGAGAATGCTGTGGATTAAATTTCTGCCTTGGATATTCACAATTCACCATAAGGGCTATGAGAAGGCCTGATGTAAATTTGTTTTTAATCCAGCATTTTCCTAATACACTTGATTATGGAAACTTTTTAGATAAGTACTTATAATTTCTTTTAGGTTAGTAGTGGGATTTGGGATTTGGGAAATGCAAAATTTGGCAGGCATATGTGTCCTGTATTTTCTTCTGGTCTAATTAATATAATTTAAAAATATAATCAGATCCTGCCCAAGGGATATTTGGAGGAGCTCTGGCTGTTTGTAGTCAGAACAGAGAACCCAAGGGAAGATACAGCAATCTTCAGATATTTGAAGGTTCCAGTAGAAGATGGATTAAAAGTATCTTTTAAGCCAGAAAGTAAGAGACAGAACTAGGGGAAGAAGTTGTAGAAAAGCATATTTTGAATAATTAGAACTATCCAGAAAATGAAGATAGTGCTTTGGAAGGTAAGTAACTCTTTTTGTTTGTTTGTTTTTGTTTTTAGTGAAGATGATTAGGCAAAGATCCATAGGGATTCTATAGAGAAATTTTAGCATATCAGATAAGGATAAATTGGGAGAGTAGTTTTTTTTGAAAGTTTGAAAATCACCGGACTCACTTTTTAGATATCTATTCCTTTTTAATTCTGTGAATCTTTATCTTGGTAGAAAATCTCAGTGAAGAAACCAAACTTAATGTATCGGAAACAAACATATTATAAAGTTTAGTTGTATAGTTAAGTGATTTTACCCGATGGTATTTCACTGACTGATTGCGATACTGGGTTGAAGCCTGGGCCACTCACATATTATCCAAGTGTTCTATCCCTAAGTTACATCTCCAGCCTGGTTTTTGTTGTTGTTTTTCTTTTTAATTAGATTTTGCTTTTTGAAACAGTTTTCTGTTCACGGTAAAACTAAGCAGAAAGCTTATAGCATTCAAATATACCCACTGTCCCCACACATGCACACCATCCCTTTCCAGTACTATGATTGCATATGTATGACAGCTGATGAACCTATAGTGACTGTCATTACCACCTGAAGTCTGTAGTTTATATTAAATTTCATTCTTTTTTTTTTGGCAGTACTAGAGTTTGAACTCAGAGCTTTATGCTCACTAGACAAGGCTCTCTACTACTTGAGTCACTCCATCAGCCCTAGATTTCATTCTTGCTGGTGATTTGAAGAAAATCTGACTATTCCTCCTCATCTTTATTTTTGTGGCTCTGGAGTTTGAACACAGGGCTTCCCGCTTGCTAGGCAGCACTCTACCACTTGAGCCACGCCTCCAGTCCTCCTTCACATCTTAAAGAAAATGAGTTTTAGTCATTTCTTGTTCTAGTTTAGGCCTTAAGGATTCAGAGGTGTAGAAACTGGAATTAACATCATCTATTTTGAGAAGATACTCAGTGTTGGGGAAAGATTCTTTTTTTTTTTGTAATCTTAAATGTTTATTTTGCTGGCTAACTATTTTTTTCCTTCTTTTTAAGTACCAAAAGAATTGGTGGAGCTCCATTTGAAGTTGATGCGAAAGATTGGCAAATCTGTTACAGCAGATAGATGGGAAAAGTACTTGATCAAGGTAACTTTATAAATTCTTTTCTATCACTAAAATATTGCTCGAGTATAAATTGATATTTACATTCATAATATACTTAACTGTTAAAATAGCTTATTAGAAGTTACAGAATATAGAGTATAATATATGTATATATGGAAATGTTACAGTCAACCTCCCCTATACAGCTATTATTTACTAATAAAAACTCTTTTAAAAAAGTTATAGAATATGACTCTGAATCTATATCATTACTATAAATGTGTGTTTCTCCACTTTCACTGCTACTAAGTAGGAGTCTTGAGTCCTTATGTTAGGTTTTTTAGTTATTTTCCTTTTGTTTCCTGGTTGTGTTTTGAGACAGAGTCTCACCATATATCAGCCTTAGGATGTAGTGTAATAAAAGCAAGACTACTCAGGATCATTTGTTTCATATTGCATCCAAGTACTGAGAACCACACAACTTTTAGAAGCCAAAGCTAATGTGTATGATGTACTTACATGGTGTCCTTTGGGAGTGTTTTGACTTTTGTAACATACTAGAATATCAGGCTATATTTTTAGGTGATTAAAAATAATTTTCTTGTCTACCTTTCAAAAAATTGATGTTTATATATACTTATTTTCATTATACCTTAAGTTCTAATCCAGTTATTTTCACTGTATAACACACAAGTACAAATTAAGTAACATAAAACGATAACTTTAATCTGCTCAGTGATTCTTTAGGTTAGGAATTTAGAAAGGTCACTTTGACCATACTGTACTTTTCAAACCAGTCACAATTCTTCCCAGTGTCAAGGAGTTGGAACATAGGTTCCTAACTTTTGAAAAACCCAGTATAAAATGCGTTCTAGTATTTTTGCACAAATTTGAAACACTGCAAAGTTGGCTTAGCATTTCAAAACCTTGATGTGATAAGATTCTTTTCTTCTTGGCAGTACTGGGGTTTGAACTCAGGGTCTCACTCTTAGTAGGCAGGTAGGTGTTCTGCCTCTTGTGCCACTCTACCAGCCCTGGGTTTTCAATAAGCCTGATGGAGTAATGTTTAAATTTTTGAAGTATATTTAACTGTGAATGATATATGAAAAAAATTTTAACCATCAAAGTGCTTTTTCAATACCAGTAAAATTGCCGGCTTGCCTTTAACAAAATGATTCTCAGTGATTCAAGGTTTTGAAGCATAAAGAGATGCTGGGGTTTCAGGACACTGGTTTTAACATAACATTTAAAAGTACAAAGAATGTGGTCCCTTATGAATAAATCTGTTTATTAAAGTTTTTTATTTTAATTTCTTAGTGTTCTAAGAACTGAGGTAGAAATTTCTTGTACACTGATCCTGCTATCAGACTCCATGATTAATAAACTTTAGGATTGTGGTTAATTTATTTTACCCTTTTGGGTCTCAGTTGCTTTGTAAGATAGGAGAATTGAGATGATATCTTTCTTTATAAGACCCTTCAATTCTGTAGTTGTGGTTCTAATTGAAATTGTTTGAACTAACATATATTCATGTATCCTAAATTTATTCTTTTGGAGACTACAATATAGTCATTTTTATTATATTCCCAAAGTTGTGACCATTGCAGTATCTAATCCATAATATTTTTAGTTGTTGGAAGTTCCTTAGTTCATTGGGAGCATGCTCTTGAGGGGAAGTCTGGTTCCTTCCTCTCTCTTTTGTTTCCTGGCCATGAGCTGAGTGGTTTTGACCTGCATGTACTTCTGTCATGATCTACTGCCTTGCTTAGGCCCAGAAGCAATGGAGCCAATTGATCATGGTTCCATGATCAATCAAAACTGAACCAAAATAAACCTTTCTTCTTATAAATTGATTTCCTCCAGAAATGGGGTCTCACAAGCTGTTTACCTGGGCTTTCCTCGAACTGTGATCTTCCTAATCTCAGCCAGGATTATAAGCACAAGTCATCCACTTCTGGCTTTTTTCGTGTCCCCCTTTTTGACTGCCATATTAGCAAGCTCTAATTACATAAACTATATGCATAAGTGTATACATATTCACTATACATATATGAAGTCTGAGTAATAAATTTTCTTAAGAGTCTTAAGAACAGTCTTAAGAAACTTAATAGGAACAGTTTACAACTTTTTTTGTAACTAAAATCTTTTTTTTAACTAAATCTCTTTTTTCCCCCTCTTTAAAAAAATTTTTTTTTATTACTGTTGTACTGGGGATATATGATGACATTTACTAAAGTTCTTACAATATATTATAGTTGAATTCACCCCCTCCATCATTCTCCTTTACCCCCCACCCCCTATTCCTGGAATAGTTTCAACTAATCTTTTTTTTTTTTTTTTAACTAAATTTCAACTCTAACTTTAGTTTAGGGTTTTATGACATTACACATACTGCCATTTATATCCGAATGACTGCCTACTGAAATGATGTCATGTAAACAAATGAAATACAGCATATCAAAAGCCACATTCATTCTCTTCAAACTTACTATGCCTGTTGAATACATGATATATGTTTGTTCATGTTATCATCAATACTCTGAGCCCAAGCCAAGATCTAGTCATTGTCCTAAACCCCTCTTTTTCCCCCTCACCCAAGCAGGCAGTCACGGCCTGTTGGTTTTTCTTTCCTGTTTGTTTCTCATAATCCCACTTGGCACTACCTAGTTTAGGCCATTCATCTTTTGCCTGACCCATCACCTTCTATTGGTCTCCCAATTTTTAATCTCGGACATTGCTATCATCTTACTCCTACAAAAGTGACTTCTTCTCCTTTTCATTTTTTTGTGGTACCGGTGTTTGAATTCAGGGCCTCTGCCTTGAGCCACTCCACCAGCCCTTTTTTTTGTTGGGTTTTTTTCAAGAGGGTCTCACGAACTATTTGCCTGGGCTGGCTTTGAACCTCAGTCCTCCTAATATCTGCCTTCTCAGTAGCTAAGATTATAGGTGTGAGCCACCAGCGCCTGGCAAAAGTGACTTAAACACAAAAATGCTACTATATCACTTTCATAGTAAAGCATTCCCTTTTATTTACAAATCTAGACTGTATGATACAGGACCTGTCATCATTTTCATCCCTAAGAGTTCCTGCACATACTGTATCTTCTTCCTGGAATGCCTTACCATCACCTTGTTATCCTGGCAAACTCATTTACCCCTGAGGTTTCAGCTCAAGAATTACTGTCTCTTTGAGCCCTTTCCTAGGAAGGTGTTACTTTGTGGAGTTAGTTTAACTCCGTTATTGAAACTGTTGTATGATTGTATGATTTTGTATAGAATGTTCACTCTGTACCAGGCTGTGTTTTTCTCACCTTTGAAATATTGTCTTCATTGTATGTGTAAGGAATTCAATTAACTTATATAGTTCCACATTGCTAAAAAATGGCAGAGCTTGCATTTAAAGCCCAGGAGCTGGTGACTTGTGCTTTGAAATACCATTGATAAGGTAGCCCTGCATTTGTCTTTCTTGTAGACCGTCTTGAATGCTTCTTTTCATCTTTTAAGCATCAATATTAGATGAATCAATCATTTAGACAATTTCAGTTTTTTCCCCTTGACTGCTATAAGCTTAACTTATTTGTTATGTGTAAATTAAGGTTTCAGTGTTAGAGCTGTTTGAAGGTAGAATCCTTAACTCTTGATAATTGATAAAGTTGGAGAGCAAGATGTCTAGATACACAGCTCAACCAAGGGCATTCATTATTTTATATCTTGCACTTGTTTACATATATTCTTCCAGTATTATCCAGAGTGACACCGAACCCAAAAATCTAGACTGGTAACTTTTTTACTTGTAAGGTAGAATTATTCTTCTAAAAATAAAGAAGCCCATTGAGTTGAAATTTAAACTAGCTGACCTGCTAAGACCTATTAACTCCTTGCTTAGTTGGATAGGCCTTGGCCTTATCATGCTTCACATTCCTTTTACTTGGCCAATCACAAAGAAATTTCTTTGCCAGTGAACTCTCATACTTCTATAAAACTCTTCCATTTCCTTTGGTTGTTAATGATTTTAGATACTATAAACATTTTCAGATACCTTGACGATGGATAATGAATACCACTCTACTTCACACAATCATCCACCTTCACAAATTCAGCATCTGTGCCTCTACTCTTCTGCTGCCCTGCCTCTTTCCAAAAGCCATATGAAGGCCTTCCAAAATAATAAGGAAGCAATTTTATAATAAATTATTCTTTAAATCACGGTTGATGTCCTTTAGCCTGAGAGTAATTTCTGAGTAAGAAGGTCATAATTTATTATTGCTGTTTTTCTTTGATTCTGTGATCTCTTCAGTATATGTCACATCAGTGACTTAGAGAATTTTTTAAACAAGTGTAATTGTTGGTTTAAAAAGAGGAACTTAATTTCAAGAAACATTAAACCATAAAAACAAATATGCTTCTTAGATATATGCTTCTTAGATAATAAACAAATGATGGTAAATATTTTCTGGGGCTCAATGCTTGAAAGATAATGACATTAACTAGAAAATAACCTAATGTGTTTCTTCTGGGGTGTTTGTCTGCCCCTCAGCAAAAATAACCTCATTCCTTTGTCTCTCAAAAGTAAAGAGAACATAAAGAGAAATCTCTCCTACTTGGTCCTTAGTAACATATTTATAAATCCTTTGGAAGTGAATAAATTTGGTAATTGATAGCCTTGATCTAAACAGCAGTTTCAAAAAGCCTCATTGCCACTACCTCCTTCTTCCATTCTGTACTATGAAACAGCTCTACCACTGAACTACACCCTAGCCTATTGCTTTTATTCCTTAGAAAGATTATCATCTGTTATCCAGTCATAAAGGTCATCTTTTGTCATTTCTTAATTTGGTCATATTTTGACAAGCATTAGCTGTTTCTTTTACTGTTTTATTTCTCAGAAGTATAAGTTAAGATTGGTACTTTTAATTTTTATTTGCATTGTTAACATATTAACTTTAGTTTTCTTTTTTTGGTAGGATTGAGGCTTCAACTCAGGACTTCATGCTTGCAAAGCAAGCATTCTGTAGCTTGAACCACACTTCTAGTCCATTTCG